TTACAAGGTCAGAAGGTCATGTAATTGAACAATTAGTGACTTCTGTGCATCAGGTGTGTTCTAAGGCATAAAATCTGACCTTTCATTTGATGTTTAAATAAAAGGAATGAGGTTTATAAGCAAATTCATATCTCCTTACTGAACTGAAAGGAAATCCCTCCTTCAAAGTTTGAGGAGAGGATAGGGTCCTAGGGGGCTCTGGAGGATGGGCTGCCTAATGATTATGTGCCCTAAGCAAGATAAAGAAATGCTACTGTACATGACATGGCCATTACAAGGAGGCCAAAATAAATTTCTGTGGGGAATTAGTACACAGCAGTGATTTAAAGTTATCTGACAATGTTTACATCAATCAGGGTTTCTATGAATTGCATCTGTAGATTGCCCCTCCCCACACAGACACTGCTGTGCATCAGGTTGGACATGAGGGCAACTGATGAAAATATTTTTGTGAAGTTAAAGAGTCATCTTTTCCCTTCATTGGACATATTATGCATTCATTTTCAAATCCTACATTAAAAGTTAAAAGTTTCATCATTATGTTTGATTCCTATTTTAATAGTTTGAAAATGTCACGTAAGAGTTACAGAAGGCTGCAAAGGAAATATGAGAAGGTTCTGCTGCTCTTCCAATGGCTGCTATACTTTAGGAAGCCACATGAAATTTTCCAAGGCCATAGCTTTGGGAGGTGTAGTTTTGCATGGACTAAGCTCTAGGTATTCCAAGAGAGATACATATTGGAATTTTTAGCCTCCACAGATCTCTTGACACCTAATAGTCATTTCACCTAAATCCTCTAAGTCTGTGGAGGAAACTCTCCAGATTCGATTCATAGGACACTAATTACTGTTTTTCTTCAATTTATTTAGAATATGCGGAAAACCTGAGGAGTACCAAGTATTTCGTGATAAATGGAGGTTTGGAACTCAAAATTAGAAGTTAGGTCTTCAAAAATCCATTTTGCAGTATGGAGACATAGGTCTGGCTTACTGGCTTTTAAAGTTTTTGATTCAGGTCTAGAACGTAAAATATAATGGCTGGAATAGTGGAAAATAATCTCGCCCGGTATATGGGAAATTTAGATGTACTCAAACGCCCTACCTGGCAATAATTCTCTTTAAAGAAAAAGAAAGGAAAAAAGAGAGAGAGAGAGAGAGAGAGAAAGAACAAAAAACTTGCAGCCTTTCACCTGAAAGTTTGCACTCTGTAATAACCCAGAAGTTCAGGCCCGCACACTTTACACGTCTGAAACGAAGCACACCACGAAGCACACCTCCCTGGAGCCTGGCGACCGCTTCGCCTTAGGGCGGAGCTCAGGACAAGAGCTTTATCAACAGACAAAGTCCAGAGGATTCTTGACTTGGTGATGCATAAAGTTTTCTTCCCGATCCTACCCCCCACGTCTGCCTGGCCAGCTCCGAAATTGCAGCGCAGAGGCAACTGCGAGAAATACAGCACGCCTTGTGTGCCTCGTGTTAAATAAATCCAGGAGCAGAGAATGATCAGGCAGCTCCAGACCGGGAGAGGCTCTTCTGGAGGCGAGAGGTTAGAAAGCAGATAAGGCTTCCTAGCGCGCAGCTCACCGTCCTCCGCCGCCCGCCCAGCGTCGCCTCGGGAGTCTCTGCAGCTCGGATCCACGGAGGAAGGTGGGACAGGAGGAGGTGCAAGAGGGAAAAGACGCTGGGGAGGGAGGGGTGAGCCGAGGGGAGCTGGCGAGAGCGCCGCGCGGGGGGAGGCGGCGCAGGGGGGAGCGCGCCGGGCGCTGGAGCTGAGTGGACCGCTCGAGACCGCGGCGCGAGCAGCAGCTCCTGAGAGCCGCGAGTTGGCAGAACCGGCTGCATTTCCAGCAGGCGCTGCGCGCACCGTGCGGGCTCCCAAGGTGATGTGCCCGCAGCAAGCATCCTTGCGCCCGCCCGGGCGGCTGGACCGCGGCTGGCTTGCTCGCGCCCACCTCTCCTCCCCGGGTCTGCGGGTCTGCGTGTCTGCGCGCCCGGGTTTGGGGGCCAAGCCTGCGGGGAAGGAAGGGGCACCGTGGTCCCTGCTTGTCTCCTCCCCCCTCTACCCTCGTCGTTGCGAATGCCTGTCTTGCAGGGGCTCCCCGGGCTTCGCACCCCGTCTTTGACACTGCGCCCTCCGCCCCCCGCTTGTGTCTCCTTTCGCAGATGCTCAAGGTGTCAGCCGTGCTGTGTGTGTGCGCGGCCGCTTGGTGCAGTCAGGCTCTCGCAGCTGCCGCGGCCGGGGCTGCGGCCGGGGGGCGGTCGGACGGCGGCAATTTTCTGGATGATCAGCAATGGCTCACCACCATCTCGCAGTACGACAAGGAAGCCGGACAGTGGAACAAATTCCGAGACGTAAGTGCTGCGCACCCCGGGGCGCGGGCTCAGGGGCGCGCTGCCGCGAGGCGGGGCCCGCGGGCGGGTGGGCACCCGGGGCTGGGGCTGCCCCGACTCGCGGCGGCGCGCGGCGCCCCGAGAAGTTGGCACTTCCGACGCCCCCCTCGCGGCTGGTGCGCGGGGAAGGGCTGGCGTGCACGGGGCACGGGAGTTCAGGTGTCGCCAGGTTCCCACCCTACCTGCACCGGGCCGCTGTCCCTACTCCACCTTCCCCCCGCCCCCGGCCCCCAAGGTGTGCAAAGTGCTGGCTCTACCTGCTCAACTTTTGAATGGTGTTTCTGGCTCTAGTAAACACAGCCGCCGTGCCTGTGGGGTGCATTGCTACGGAAGTAACTAGCATCGATCCCGTTCCTAATGGTCCATTAAGGAATTTGAGGGAGCAGATAGGGAGATGTAAGATTTATAAATGCCCGCTCTCCAAGGGTGGGGGGTTGTTGGGCGCACCAGAAGGCAGAAGTTAACTGCTCCCCATGACATGAAATTGCCGATCACGGTCGGTGCTTCTGCATTAACTTTAGTACAGGGTGTGTTTACAATGCATTCGGTTACGATTTATTGCAAAATGAATAAAATCTGCAGGGGGAGGGGTGGAAGGGTTAAACTGTAGATTCCTTTGGGGACTTTTCCTAAAGGGGCTTGAAAACAGGAGCCTGGTGCAGAGACGGCCCATCCGTCTGTGCGCCTTGGAGCCGGTGGCCTTCACCTGCAGGTCGCTTTCCCCACCTGATCTGAGTGGAGCTCAGCAAACGCTGCCCGCGTGCGGAGCGCAGTTCACGTCGCGTGCAACGCGCTGGCCCGGGAGTAGAGGTCGTGCTGGCAGTAGATGGCCGCCCCCCAGCACACCCTTTAAAAGCCAGGAGGCCTGAAAGGCAGCGCGAGTGATTCAGACACAGTGCCACCCCTTCCTGTGACATTTGAGAGAATTTTTTGAGGAGTCCATCTGCAGTGCACTACGTGGGGATGAGTTGAACTTCTTTCATCATCTCACGCTGTGTCATGATTTGGGAAAATAAATGTCAGGAGCTTAGGTTAGTTTTTACATCCTGGTTCCTTTATCTCCCCACCCCCCACCTACACACACACACACACACACACACACACGCACATACATACACACCCTTCCCATGAAGTAACTGACAAGTCAGAAAGTCATAGCTAACACACGTAGCTGATTCTAGCAGAGGAATTCCTGAACACATGCTCATTTTACTTCAAAATTAAATGTAGCTAATTGATGGTAAGCATGGAAACTTGGGATGAAAAATGATAATGGCAATATTTAATGGGGGACTTCATTTTACATGTTTTAAGAAAGCTGAAACGTTTACATTGCTAAATGAACGCCTTGTAAAAGAACCCTCTTTGCACATTTGTTTCCAAGTTCATGCTAATCTTGAATATAATGACATAGGCAAGCAAGCAAATGAGATAAGTCTAAAGGTGGAGAATTTGTTTGTCATGGCCTCATTTAGGGAAAAAAATGTGAAAATTCTGCCAGTATTTGAGCAAATGTCTCAAGTTAGGACAATTCATTCCTCAATGGATGCTTTACATTTTTAAGAATGAATTTTAAATTCACCTCTGTTCAATTCTATCCTTCGCCATAAAAAAGTTTTTGTCACAGTTTACCTACTCCATTCCCCCTCTTCTGATAATCAGTTTGTCTTAATAGTCTGAAAGTTTTTCTTTGTTGTTTAGTTATCTGTTTGTTTCCTCTTTATACCACATATAAGTGAAATCATACAGTTGCAGCCACATATTGATTTTCAATAATACGCACCTGAAACTTACATAATATTATAATGCATTATTACTTCAATAAAAGTTAAAAAATAAAAATGAATTTAGGTTTTCTTCTCTAAAGCACATATTAAATCTTGAATATCTTAGTATTCAGTGACTTTGTTCAAATTACTGTATTGAGTTATAGCACTGAGTCTATACTTGGACAGTTTGTGAATGTGTTTGCTTTAGTGAGGCTGAATTGTCCTTAAGAATGAAATACTGTAGGATTCATGCAGTCAACTTTTATATAGACAGTGTAGTGTTTTATTGCTATTGTATTTTTAGCTATTCCTATATGATGGGGGAGTGAGAAATCCATTAAAATTTTGTATTACATTATATAAATGATTTTCTGAGATTTTCTAACAAATATTTGTTTGGAAGTACATGCAATACATAAAACTATAATGGTTTACTTGAAAATCTTGTATCAGGCTTTTTTTTAGATTTACTACTTTAGTAAGACAATTAATTTTTTGTAAAGATGACTTCTGGAGGGCATAGAGAAGGTAAGTGCTATCTTTTTCTCCTTTAACCACCTGTTGCTTATTAACATGATAAAATTATGCTGATAGCATGGGGTTTCCACTCAGAATGCATAATATGGAAGCCTTATTTAAACCATTCCATTGGTAATTTTCCTTCCCTTTGGGGGAATCATTAGCTTTAATTTTTTTTCTGTATCTTTCAGGAAGTTGTTTATTTTTTAGTTCATTTTTCAGCTGGAAGCACATGGTGATGAAGCATTGCTTGAAAAAAGTCTGCACAGCATAAATCTATCTTTAAGTGCTCTGCATTTGCATTGATATCTTAAATAATGGATTTGCATGCTTAGTTTATAGAAGGGAAAGAACAAAGGCATTTGAACTTTTAAAAATTAAAGTTCTTCTGATTAATTCTTTTATCCCATAAAAATATAATGAATATTTTTATTTAGAAATAATGATTTGACGTGCTTCAGCATAATTCACACTGAAATTAATTGTTACTTCTTGTGAGTGCTTTGCTCAATGACATCATTTTATAAGTCAGTCCTTAGTGAAAACTTGAACTATATCTCCTTTTGAGTTATATTTGAAAGCTAGTTTAGATGCTATTTAAAAATAAAATTTATCGTTATATTTTTATTAAGTAATTTAAGAAATAAATATTACTCTTTATATATCATATATTTGTATATATAACAAAGCCTTAGGATTAAGGAACATCGATAGGAAATAAGGAGTAGAAGAGCATAGGAAACTACCAATGATGATTCATTTTCTCGGATTCTTCACTATGCATCATATAATAAAAATAATAAAACCAAAGGAAGGTTTACAGTGACTATCAACACAGGAGAAACTTTGAGTAACTTTGACTACCCAGAACCTACAGCCCTCTCTGGATAAAGTTTTGTTGCTCTTAAAAGTGTACAAAATGACATTACATAGGCATAGAAAACTTTCATACTTTAGAAAGGAAGTATATATACTATATCATTTAGAAAATGATAATATTTTTATCAGTGTAAGCATTCCAGTAGAGAATCTAATATCATAGGATATGTTTAGTAGAGTCATTGTTTGCATGGTATTTGCCACTTTTTTGTCTCTTTTGAGTAGTCATAAGAAAAAGACACAGAATTTCTCAGTGGGGGATTGTGGGAATACCACTAACATCACCAAGAACAGTGGTAAAGGAAACTCACCCCATTCTCACACAGATAAATATATGTCCTGGCCTATTAGGAGAACTGGACATGAGGATCATTATAAGGAAACTGAGTCATTAGTTTATGAATCAAGTGGTTCTCATATTCCATATTTCAAACATTTATGTGTTATAAATCAATTAAATCATGCCCTTATCATGTAATAAATGAGTATGGAATTGGGAAGCTGATCAATCTATTGGTAATGCATGATATTGTATCGCTATCGATTTCATCTGCTATTGATTTCGCTGAAGTATGTATAGTACTTAAAAATGACAGAAAAGATAAAAAATGAGAAGCTGTAAATGCTGTATGTTGTAAGCAATATAATAAAAATATTGCATAGGTACCACTGATGCCATGCTAATTTTAAATAACATATAACAGAATCAGAATTTTACCCTTAGTTTGAAATTCAGAAAGTTATAGATTAGTTTTTCTTTTTCAATGAAAATGCTTCAGGGTAGGAGCTAATGGAGTGGATGAAGAAATGGAGCATAGAGGATTTTTAGGGCAGTGAAAATAATTTGTATTTGTATAAGGCAGATATACCCAATATACCCACAAGCCCACCATCATACCCAGAAGCCTATCATCTCAAAACAAACAATAAAAAAACCTAGTTTTTTTAAATATTGCTTGAAGAAATAGTTACCATTTGTGTTGCAAATTCATAATCAACTTCAGTTAACATTTATTCCTTACATGATTTTTCATATCCATTATACATAGTGAAAGCCATAGTATAGTTGAACAATTTAATTAAAAAAAATCAACTTCATTCTAAGTCAAAGTACATATACAACTTGAAAATATAAATGCAAGGTGCCTCAGAGGCACTCAAATATTAAGTCAACTTTTAAAAAACTGCCAGATTAGAATATATTGACTAGTACATAAATTTTTCTAAGATTCTTTTTTCTTTTATTTCCCCTTTTCACCTGAGCTGAGGTTCTACAATGTACAGATTACTTAAGAGATAATGACTAATGGGGCTGGTTACTTCCTGGTACTTACAAAGCTTTTGTGAAGCCCCCCCCCCCCCCCCCCCCCCCCCCCCGCGCCCCCCCCCCAGAGTTTATCAACTTTATTGTTACTAGGAAGTAAATAAAACAATTGAATTCTGTGTCTCTTCCAAGTAGAGTATTCTATTGTTTTAAAAGGCATTAAAATTCAGGGCCTCCCCTGGTAGCGCAGTGGTTGAGAGCTGGGTTGTGAGGCTGCCTGCAGCCTCTGCAGAGCTGGTTCGATCCCCGGCCGCTGGGCAAGGGTCCCACATGCCCCGCAGACCTCTCCTGCCTGCGCCCGCTGCTCCCCTCAGCGGTGTATTTCGTCAGTCTGTTCTGTTCCCAGCTCTGGCTCTGGTGAATTCTCCCGCACTTCTGACTGTACCCAGTGCTTGTATAAATTAATTAATTTTTAAAAAAGGTGTTAAAATTCAAATAGTGAAAATCTTTAAAGAAAACCCTCAGTGCTTTCTTTAGATTTATGGCCGACCCTGGTTGTATTTTCTGAGCAGTAGGCTTACCCATAACACTGAGGGTTCCTTCTTTGTGGTAACTTTTTCCCAAAATTATTATTTTTTATGGAGGTGTAATTGACCAATTGAATTAAATATATTTAACATGCAGGATATGATTATATCTTGTTCATATTCATTGTGAAATGATTACCTTTATGATAAGTTTAATAGTAGCCAATAGAGTTTTACCACTTTTCAACAATATGGGCTAAAAATAAAATCTAAAAAAAAATAATTTGGAAGATTTAACAATTAAACCACTATTCTTTGTGTTTAGGATTGCTTTCAACAATGCATATCCAATTGTGACCAAAAAAGCACGTGAAATAATATTTTTAGCTGTTGTAACTATTACCTCTGTCTTGACATAATTAAACACCTACTGTCTCCTTGGGAATTCTTCAGGGTTTATGCATTGCATTATGAGTATTTTCCTCTCTGTCTCTCTCTCTGTCTCTCAATATATTTTTTTAAAATATTTACACATACAAGAACTGGGATACAGGCCAGAGGTGTGGTGGTGGGGGTGAGAGGATTCACCAGAGACAGAGTTGGGAACAGAACAGGCAGATTCACCAAAGTACACTGCTGAGGGGAGCAGCGGGCGAGTCAGGAGAGGGCTTCTGGGCCATGTGGGTTGCTCCCTGTCAGGACGTGGACTGAACTCCTACTTCAGTGGCTGTGGATTGCTTCATAGGTTGAGTCTTAACCCTTTCTCCACCAGGGAGGCCCATGTCTCTCAATATATTTGATGAATATGAGCCACACCATTTACAAGCCCTTAAAAGCCCTGAATACATGTTTATACGACAACACTGGGAAAGACTATAGCATGGGCAGCGTTTTTTAAATACTTGACTATTATACAAATTGTTTAAGTCATTAGGCAGTTGACATAAAGGCAGTTGACATAGAGAAGCAATGGAGAGAAGGGTCTGTGGCTGGTGCAGCTGCCACCATCCTATTTCTTTCTTTTTTATTGAAGTAACACTGCATTATAACATAGATGCATTTTAGGTGTGCATTGTTGAAAATCAACACCTGTACGTATGTATGACCATTAAGTTCAACATTGAAAGTCTAATTCTCTCCTTCACTATATAATTGACTTCTTTTACCCCATTTTCCCAACATTCCTTCTTCCCCTTTACATCTGTTAGCTACTCACATGGTCGTATAGTATAAAAGTTTATTTTTGTTTAATTTAGTTCATTCATTTGTTTCTTTGTGTACTACATTTGAGTGAAATCATATGGTGTTTGTCTTTCTCCTTCTGACTTATTTCCATAAACACCTTACTCTCTAGGATGGCAATATTTCATCTCTCTTACAGCTGAGTAGTATTCCACCTTTACATCTTCTTAATGCACTCATCTGTCAGTGGACACTTGGGTTGTTTCGAGCCCTTGGCTATTGTGAATATTGCTGCAATGAATATGGGGGTGTATATGTTGCTTCCAATGAGTGTATTTGTATTCTCCGGGTAAATGTCCAGAAGTGGGTATAATACCTATTTGTTAACCCCAACCCCACCCACCACCATCACCATTAGCACTCTCACCAGCCAGAATTAAAATTGATTTTGTCAGGTGAAGTGTCCCAGGCTGTCAGAGAATGTCCAGTGATCTCCTTTCTGGAGTGTGACTCTTAGGTAGAGTGGGGAGTGCATTGCAGACTATAATAGAGAGTTTGAAGATAGTACAAAATGTTACCAATTTCCATTAGTTCATTCTATAAGATTAAAAATAATAAGAAAAGACAATATTTTTAACTCTCTAGTTCTCAGAACTTCTAGTGAATTATTAAGAAAATTGCAGCTACGTAGATTGGGGAATAGATTAATCTGTGTGAGTTTGCATGTTACATGTGTTTATTTCCATGCATATATAGCTCTATGCATGAATATGATATGTATTATATGTATAGACTTTATATGTGTATGTCTTCAATTAGGCAAATCAAATGGAAAATTGAAAAAGATTACATATATATTATTGATATTTTTATATGCAACATAGACATCTAAAATGTTCTCCTCCCACCCTACTCCCCCATTGGGTTTTCTGCATCTCATAAATTGATGACACAATCTCATTTGCTGTTCCTTGTGTGGTTACTATGTGCTTTCCAGGTTCTTAGGGAAGTCAGTTTGCTCCTCATTATAAGCTGAAACTTTTGTGCTTGACATGCAAAAGGAACATTGTGTACTGCTATGAAACATTTATTTTCCTACTCTTACAATAGAACTACAATAAGGCTGTTTTTGGAGCTCATGATTCTGACTCAGAGCAACATTTTATGTTCTTATGCAACTTTAGTTTTCATGATTACATGATGTGGGTTAAAATTATCTAGTACTATGCTATGTATTTATTTTTCCAGGCTGGTATTTGAATCTTCTACACACAATATACAACTGTTGCAGTGTTTACTTGCATTTTTCCATTTATGCAAATCCTTTTATCTTTTCTAGTCTTTGTACTTCTTCTAGTTTGTAGACTTGGCTACTGCTATTAGACTGTAAACTCTACAGCTATAGATAATAGTGTCAACTCCCCTCAAAATCCAACAATCAATTTAGCTTTACCACAGTGGCTGACTTAGAGTTAGCATTAGAAAAATATTTACAAAATAAAAGGATGTTTTATGCATGTACCTTGCCATGTAGACTAATTCTTAATTAAAGGTTTTTAGAACTGCTGTTTTTTATTGGCCATGTAACTTAAATGAAAATTTAATTTTTGTAAAAGATAAGATAAAGTTTCAAGTACTAAACTACTTTAGATCTGTAAGTTCCAAAATGCACCAAAATGGAACTGCTTTGCCAAAACCTGTCCTGTCCCATTTTGGAGTGGTAAAAGTAAACCATCATTTTATTCATGTTGGCACATTGGTACTTTCTTTGCCAACTCATCCCATTTGTTTATAATAGTTTCTCTTTAACCACAGAATTGTATCATTCAAATTTTTTTTTTTAAGCAAAATCAAAGACCAATATTTTCCTTTTTCCACTACTGCAGTTCAGTGAATGGCAGGGTAGGTGTATACAGATATTTCACAGTTTGTCTTCCACTTCTGCCTCACAATTGTCAGTGCCTAGTTAAAGATAGGTTACGTTCCTGCAAAATGGAGACCTTGAGTCACAGTGCCTGGATTAAGTCAGAATTTTATTTTCCTGCTGTGTCGCCATTAAAGAGTGAGCTTCCAGGCTTGGGCTATCAGGGAGTTCTCCTTAAATTGCCATTTCTTATCCAGCAGAAAGGATTTACTAGATTGTCTAGGATAAGCAGCTTGTCCTAGAATTGACCTGAAAGTTATCACACATGACTTCTATTGGTGTTCCACAGGCCTGAACTTAGTGCCATGGCTACCATAGCTGCAATGCAGGCTGGGAAATGTCATCTCTAATGAGACAGGATTAGCACTAAAGGAGATAAAATGATTCTGAGAACTGGGAGAAAAATGATGATAATGACTGTCTTATGGTAACTTGTATATTAAACATGCTCTAAATACCCCTGGATAATATCCTCTCTCCACTCTGATGCCTATTAACTATCTTGTTTTCAATTGCTTTCCTTCCTAATTTCATATTATCCTTCTATCTTCCATCCAGGGTAGAACTAGGATGCCTGGTATATAAGATTGTGGGTGTAGAACTTGAGGGCAGGTATTCATGGACTCAGACTCACGGCTAAGAGGAAATTAGGTCAGAACCAAGGGTATCACGTTCAGGAGTGCCTGCTTCTGATGATGAGTTATATTTTCTAGTGAACTCATTTAGCATTGTCTGAAAACTTTTTTTTAAGCAATGGATCTGTGGTCATATATCTAGAATGCTTTTGTGTAAGATAATAGTTACCAGTGGAAAGGAATTAGTATTCAATTCTCACACCCTTTAGTTGAAGGACCAAATAGTTTTCCTAGCCAAGCTGTATTTCCTATGGGGAAAAAAAAAAAAAAAGGAATGTACCATTAATGCAAAGAAACTTGAATAATAATAGAAATTATGCATTGTAGGACTCATGAAGCTTTTAGCCTTAGAAGTAAAGAAAACTTTTTTTTTTTTTTTTTTAGCACAAGTGTCTCTGGGACATTTGCAAGGCAGAAAATACACCAAGTCAGATTTGCCAGCTGATCCACAGAGACTTTCTTTACGCTTTCGATTTTGTATCTTGATATCAGAGATGACTGACAGCCAGGGTGGCTGAGCTCCCTGCCTGGATCATAAACAGAGATGTCAATTACACCATGTGCCCATCAGTTTGTTTATTTAAAGAAGTTTTTTTTTTTTTTAAAGATTTATTTATTTATGCATTCAAGAGCTGGGGTATAGGCTAGAGATGCGGGGTGGGGGGGTGAGAGGATTCACCAGAGACAGAGTGGGGAACAGAACAGGCAGACTGACTGAAGTACACTGCTGAGGGGAGCAGCGGGCGAGTTAGGAGAGGTCTGCTGCACAATGTGGGTAGCTCCCTAGTCAGCAGGGGATTGAACTTGTGCTGCAGAGGTTGTGGATAGCTTCATAGGTTGGGTCTTAACCCCTTGCTCCACCAGAGAGGCCCTTAAAGAAGTTCTTGAGTCCTTCCTTGATTAAATTTGTTAAAGGAAAACTTAGTAATTTAAATTATTATTTACCCTTCTCATATGCTTTCATGGCATGATTATCTTACAAGTGATGATTATATAATTTTGCTTATTTTTTACTCATAAATACCTTTTGATTAAATTATGATACTAAATAATAGTGTACAAATGTAAAAGGTAAAAAGACAGGTGAAAGAAAAGCCTTTGTAAAATTTACATTTTGCCACTGCAGAAATTTTTTTCCCCAAAGAATTATGTTTTCCCCACTATTCTTTCAGTGGAAGTCACCTTGCTCTCAGTAGCCTATATATAAGCAGCTTCTTTTCTCAGGGAAATAATAGCCTTAACCACAAATGCCTCCCCCTTCAGAGCATGTATTGTAGATTTTTCTATTCAGAATCTCCTCAATCTCCTCAAATGACTTAAATAAGTTAAATGGATACATTTTCTCTGTTTTGTATAAATAGGCTACTCAAAGTTGGATTCATTATTTCTAGAGGGAGTGATGATGAGAAAAATGTTCTCATTAAAATACCAAATAATGGAGAACTACAGGTGCCTTGGCAGTGTGTGTGGTGTGGCCATGTATCTCTGAATAGGTGCCACCCTCCATTTCTGAATCATGTACAATGTTACTACAATAAAAAAAGATCAAATTTTTAAAAAGGTGGGGGAAAAGTTAAATAAAATATGACATAAGACAAATATTAAAAATAAAATAAAAATATAAAGACATTCTTATTCAGATACCAGCGTCTTTCTTATTCAGATACTACAATATATGAACACATACTTTTCTACAGCTTATTTCATGCGAGCATTAGTATACATTTTTATGTATTAATTAGCAACATCCTGTAGTGAAGGCACACTTTTTTTTAAGATTTTTAAAATTTATTTATGTATATAAGAATTGCGTGCAGGCCAGCGGTTTTGGGGAGGTAGGTGAGAGGATTCACCACAGACAGAGTGGGAAGCAGAACAGGCAGATTGACTGAAATACACTGCTGAGGGAGCAGCAGGCCAGATAGGAGAGGTCTGCGGCATCATGTGGGTTGCTCCCTGGCCAGCCAGGGATTGAACTCATGCTGCAGCTGCCAGTAGCTTGATAATACTGATATTTAACCCCTTGTGCCACCATGGAGGCCCCAAGGCACACTTCTTACCCAATTATAAGTGAAGAAATGGGGCTGAGGTCACAGCTAGTAAGTGGTGGTAGGTGCTGTCTCTCTACTGCTGACATTTGGCTGCACAATCTTCTTCTTCCTGTGCATAATATTTCTTGATCTATAAATACTATTTTGGGCTATATATTAGATGCAGACACTTTAAGTATCCTGTTTAGTATAATCTGTTAGGTGTGTAGCTCAGTGGTGCTAAGTAGGTGCACATTATTGTGTAACCAAATGCCGTAACTTTTTCATTTTATAAAACAGACCCATTAAACTACCATACCCTGTTTTCTCCTTTCCCTAGTCCTGGCAAACACCATTTTACTTGTTTCCGTAAATTGACTATTTTAGCTATCTCAGATGAGTGAAATCATACAGTATTTGTCTTTTTGTGATGGACTTAGATTACCCAGCATACGTCAAGCTTTATCATTTTGTGACAAGCAGCAGACTTTGCTTCCTTTTAAGTGTTGACTATTATTCCACTTTTCTTCATTTATTGTTGATGAATGGGTTGCCTTTACCTTTTAGTTGTGAAAAATGCTATGAGGTGCCTCCCAGGTGGTGCAGTGGTTGAGCGAAGCTGCCCCCAGCCTCTGCAGCACCGGTTCCATCCCGGCCGCCACGTGGGGGTCCCACCGGATCTCTCCTGCCACCTGCTGCTCCCCTCAGCAGTGTATCCTCAGTCTGCCTATACTGTTTCCCGCTCTGGCTCTGGTGAATTCTCTCACCCTCCCACGCTTCTGACTGTACCCAGTGCTTGTGTAAATAAATAAATAAATCTTAAAAAAATGCTGCTATGAATATGAATGTCCAAAATCTCTTTGAATTATGCTTTCAATTTTTTGGAAGTGGAATTGGTGGGTCACTAAAGTTTTCTTTAGTGACTATCCTCTGCCCACCAATAGGCACGAGGGCCCCAAATCCTCCTCACCTGGGTCAACGCTTACTATTTTCTATTATTTGATAGTAGGCATCGTAAGGGGGATGGGTATCATCACTTGGTTTTGATTTACATTTTCCTAATGATTAGTGTGTTTTTCATATACTTATGGACCCTTTGTGTATAATTTTGAGGAATGTCTATTCAAGTAATTTGCCCATTTTTAAATCAAGTTGTTTTTAGTGTAATATTTTAAAATGTAGACATTATTAATCTAATTCATAAGAGAAATTTAGTTTCAGCAAGTTTAATTAGCATGTTCAAGATTAGTGAAACTGAATCTGCTTTCTCTAGCTTTAAAGATGTTTGTTTTCTTATTAAGAGTTGACCACTTAGGGCCTCCCTGGTGGCGCAAGGGGTTAGACACCGTACTATGAAGTAATCCACAGCCTCTTCAGCATGAGTTCGATCCCCGGCAGGCCAGGAGCTACCCACATGGCATGGCAGACCTCTCCTGACTTGCCCGCTGCTCCCCTCAGCAGTGTATTTCGGTCAGTCTGCCTGTTCTGTTCCCCACTATGTCTCTGGTGGGTCCTCTCACCCCCCAAATCTCTACCCCAGCTCTTGTATGCATAAATAAATCTTTAAAAAAAAGAGTTGACCACTTAATGGTATAAACCTCTAAATCATATACAGTGTTGTGAACTAGTGTGAACAATGTGAACAATGTGTGAACTAGTGTTACCTCAATTAAAATAAAATTGTTGATCACTTTAAATAAGTTATTACAAGTAACTCGAACTGGTTTTCTATCTTTTGAAATGTTGTTTGGCCCTTTTAAATGATCACATTAAGCTATCTTTATTTCCTTTTCTGCTATGCAAATATCATTAATAAAACCTTGGGATTTTTTATCATAATTATTAAGGGAGTGTCTAATACAGAACACAATGATATTACTATAATTTGATCATTTTATCTTGAGACTAAGACTTCTTTGCAGTAGCCTGTTCATTAGTCTTACATTAAGTAACATTGGGTGTATGTAAAACCAGTAATTGCAGATCACATTATTGTTCAAGAATAATGATTATCTCTTTAGGCATACTACATTTGACAATGACATATTCTGGCATTTTTATTAGAATTTTTTTGATATCACAATGCAATTCTGAATATCTTAGTGGGCAGGAGTGACTGTTAAAAGGAATACTAATAGACTCTTAGGATAGTTACTATTTGATCGTAAAAACAGGTGCAGTAGCTTTGGAAATTTAGCCAGGCTCGTTGTGCCTCAATTTCATCTACTACAGTGGTAGATTTTTATTTTCAGAGACGAAAGAAAAA